TGGCCCTCTTGTGGGAACCAAAGCAGTGGCTTCCACCTCGGCCTACAGGCTGTGCTCAGCTGTGACTGACTGAGGGCCACGAGGACTTTCTCCCCAGGCTTGGGCCCTGCATTGGAAGATCCCAACAACCACACAGCAGAACTAGTCCTAAAAGATGCTGGGCCTCGGTAGACTTCATCATTAGACAGGACAGAGCGGTGGCGTTGTGTGTGTGTGTGTGTGTGTCGTAAGTCACCCAGAGAGGATTCAGAGGGTATGGATCACAGGAAGGTACGGCATCATGGCGACAATGGTGGCCACCTCTGCACCCCAGAGTCCTGACTAGATGGTGCTGAGTTAATGTGGTGGGTGGCTATCTACCTGGCCATTCACAGGCTGGCCCGGGAAGGGAGGTGTACCCCTGCTTCCTGGGGCCAACTCCGGAGCCTGTGTGCTCTCCTGGAGTGTTTCCATCCCTGCGCTGCTGGTCTGCTTTGTAGCTAACATTGACTCCGTTTCTGCTTCGGAAAGGAAGCCAGAGATGACCCCTACAGAAGCAGGTGCCCTCCATGTCCTGGAAAGCAGGCTCCCCTTTTATGGCTTCCACCCAGACGGACTCCAACCCACAGCCCAGTTGAGCTACAGTCATTTCTTTATTGTTAATTTGTAAAAAAAAAAAAATATATATATATATTTATATATATAGGTATGTATGTATTTGAGTGGGAAGGGGGGAAAAAATCTCCCATCTTGTGGTCCACTCCCTAAACATCTACAGTGGCTGGGATCTGGCTGGCCACAGCCCAGGCTCAACCCAGGGCCCCCACATGGGTGCCATTAACTGAACTACTCCAAACCACTGCCAAACCACTGCCCCCAGGAAGCTGGAGCTGGGAGCCCGAGGCGGGCCTCGAAGCCAGGCACGCCCACTGGGGTCAGGCGGCAGGCTGAGCGGCAGGCAGCCCCACCAGCATTACTGCTGTTGCCTTCATTCCCGGATGCCACGCTGCACTTCCACTCTGTCTGCCATCTGCTCTGTCTCATTTCATTCCGGATTTAATAGGAAAATGCCATGTCAGGGTGTTTCCCACAGCCCTATTTTTAGTGGGGAAGATGCGTAGGCTGTTTTTGCATGTCCAACCTAGGAAGTTCATTGCAGGTTAGCGCATCGGTACCCTTGCAACAGGGTTTCAGCGTCAGGCACTTGACGTTTTGTGCCAGCTGGGTTCTGCGGGCCGTCCTCCTGTGTGGAGAGGGTACTGCGCTCCCCCGATGCCCACCATGAGTTGTCTGGAGCACCCCCCGCCGACTCCATGGCAGGGAAAACTGCCTGCAGGTGTCGGCAGGTATTTCTTGAGTCATGCTCACCCCTGCAGTAAGATCGGGCCAGGAGGGTACTTGGGGAAATGACTAAAGTAAGGCAATGGTCACGCTGTAGATGAAGGTGGCAGGAGGTAAATGTTTCTGTGGGATGTGCGTGTGTGCACGTGTGTGTGCGTGTGTGCATGTGTGTGTGTGCACGTGTGTGCGTACGTGCGTGCATGTGTGTGTGCACGTGTGTGTTTACACTCACAAGTCTGAAAGGAAGTCCATTAAAACTTTGCATCAGGACCCAGTGCGGTAGCCTAGTGACTAAAGTCCTTACCTTGCACACACTGGGATCCTATGTGGGCACCGGTTCTAATCCCAACGGCCCCACTTCCCATCCAGCTCCCTGCCTGTGGCCTGGGAAAGCAGTCGAGGACAGCCCAAAGCCTTGGGACCCTGCACCCACGTGTGGGAGACCCGGGAAGAAGCTCCTGGTCCCTGGCTTTGGATCAGCACAGCTCCAGCCATTGTGGCCATTTGGGGAGTGAATCAGCAGACAGAAGACCTTCCTTTCTGTCTCTCCTCCTCTCTGTATATCTGCCTTTCCAATAAAAATGAATAAATCTTAAAAAAAAAAAAAACATTGTGTGAAGTCTGTCTTGTGTGCTGGTTGATGAGTATTTCCCTAGTAAGCATTTTTGCCGTTAACGTCAGACGTCAGTAACCTGTCTGAGAAGCAGAGGTGAGCAGAGAGCTCTCGTTGATTGCTCACGTGCCCGCGGCACTCAACACTGGGTCCGGAGTTCAGTTTAGGTCTCCCTTGCGGGTAGCAGGGACCCACGTACCTAAGCCATCGCTTGTGCCACCTGCTGCCTCCCAGGATGAATATTCATATGAAACTGAAATCAGGAAAATTCAATTCCTGAACGGAGTTACAGAACAGGGAGCAGAGGGGCGGTCTTAGCCACTAGGCTGCTGCCCCCCCGCCCGGTATTATTTACCGGGGTGGTGGAGGGGTGCAAGCTCCTGACTGTGCAGGCACTGTGGTGGGGTTGGTCTGATTTCAGCTGCTGCTTTCATTTCTTTCCATTTTTTCCTAAATATTTATTTGAAAGAATGCAAGAGGGGAAAGAAACAGAAAGAGAGATTGTCCACCTGCTGATTTAATCTCCGAATGGCCAAGGCAAAGCCACAGGCCACGAGCCCTGCAGAACACGCCCATGTGAGGAGGTGGCCCTTGAGCCACCGTGTGCCGCCTTCCGGGTGCACTGCGGAGAACTGGCTTGGAAGACGGGCAGCTGGTACCTGCCCCGTCGCCCCCACCCGGCCGCTGGCCCCCACCTGGCCGCTGGCTTTGAGCGCCGCAGCCGAGCCTTCTGCACTGCACGCTGCCCTTGAGCTTCGTCCTGACACTTGATGAGGCTAGTGCCTCCTGCCCTGGGGAGGCCCCAGAGGACGGCCTCTGGCCAGCATCCTGGTGTGTGTCTGCCCGCACATGCTTGGTCCTTTCCTGACCCGATGCAGAGCCATACCCAGCCACGACAGATCAGGGGCATGGGTGGACTTTAATGCAGTTTTCAGAGGGAGTTCTAGGTGCAGCCTTTCTGAGAAGGAGGCAGGTGTGTGGTGCTAAGACAGGGCACTGGACCAGGCTGGACAGTATGCTGGTGCCAGCCGTACAGTCCCTGTTGGCTGAGTGGCGGACAGAGGCCACTTCTCTTGGGCTAGCCTCACTCCCTGTGTCCACTTCCAAAATGGCCAGGTCCTTCTCTTCTCCCTAGGGGCAAGCAGCTTGTTCATTCTTTGTCCTCTGTTTTTTGGTTTTTTTTAGTTTCCTATGTATTTAGGAAAAATATGAAATTGCCCCGTTTGGTTATATCTTAGAAAGTAACCGTTGATTTCATTTAGTTCAACCTAATATTATTTTAAGTAAATTCATACATGGGCAAATAGTTTTATTTATTTAGATGCGTGTATTCACTTGAAAGACAGTTAGAGAAAGACAGCAAATGCATGCCTGGCATCTGCTGGTTGATTTTTCAGATGTTGCAACGGCTGGGGCTTGGCCCACGGCCAGGGGCTTCGTTACCCTAGTACGTGAACCATCCTGTACCACTCTCCCAGGCACAGGAGCAGGGAGCGCAGTTGGAAACAAGGCAGCCAGGACTGGGATTGGCACTCCATTGCAAGATGCCCCCTGCCTCAGCACCCTGGGCCACAAGGCTGGCCCTGGCAAATATGTCCTAAGACAGGATTATTCTGTTCAGATTATACGATGGAAATCTTTGTACAGTATCTTTTGGGCAACTTTCTAAGCTGGAGCACACACCCCTTTCATTCTTTTTCTTGGTTATTCCTGTTCCATCCTGATGGGCATTTATTTTTTTTTTTAAATCAATGCCCCATTTGATTTTTGCCTGGCTTCTTGTTTTTGATGGGTTATTTCATTCAAGCGAGTCACAGGGAAGACTTAACTTTTTATATAATTATCAAATATAGTCTCTTAATATACATTTTACATGAGGCCTTTTCTGTAAGTGGGGACTTCGGGGCCCAGCGTGGTGGCCTACTGGCTAAACTTTTCACCTTGAAAGCGCCAGAATCCCATATGGGCACCAGTTCTAATCCCAGCAGGCCTGCTTCCCATCCAGCTCCCTTGCTTGTGGCCTGGGAAAGCAGTCAAGGACGGCCCAAAGCCTTGGGACCCTGCACTCACGTGTGGGAGACCAGGAAGAGCTCCTGGCTCCTGGCTTCTGATCGGCGCAGCACCGGCCGTTGTGGCTCACTTGGAGAGAAAATGAACGGTCGAAAGATCTTCCTCTCCATCTCTCCTCCTCTCTGTATATCTGACTTTCCAATAAAAATAAATTCAAAATTAAAATACATAAATAAGTAATTTTTTTCTAAAGGGGGGATTGCAGAAAATTTGTGGAGAATGAAATTCATGGATATGAATGTGAAGCCACCCCAGCTTCCCATCTGAGCACTGGTTTGAGACCCACGTTCTTGGGCCTGGTTCCCCGCTAATGTCCTTGAGAGTGGAAGACGGCCAAGTGCTTGGGTCCCTGCACCCATGGGGGAAACCCAGAGCAAGCCCTAGGCTCCTGGCTTTGGCCTGGCTTAGTCCTGTCCATCGTGGCCATTTGGGGGAGTGAACCAGCTCTCAAATAAATAAATAGGCTGTACATCTTTTTTAAAGAGAAGAAAGGAAGGTTGCTGTATGCTGTTTCCCTCGCCATGACGTCAGCGTGTGCACTGCCCAGGGCTCCGTGAGCCTGCTCCCAGACCGTTGCCCACCAAGGAAATGAGTTGGGAATTTTCTTCTTGGGAGCAGTCATTGTCACAGTGGGTGTGTCCTGGTCAGACAGATTCCCTGGAAACTTCTAGGCGGCACTGATCAGCAGCTGGATATTTGTTTTGACATAGTTTTAGGCCAGGCTGCGCTGGTTTCCTGAGCCACGAGGTCTTCGTGGATGTGCAGCCGGACACTTGACCTTGGATGCTGGATGCTGGACCACGGGGAGGGCTGAGGCCCCTGGCAAGTTCCTGGAAGGAGGGGACTCCCCGTGTGCCGGGGAGAAGGAGACACATCCAGAGCGGGCACAGCGAGACCGAGTGCCAGCCTGGCACCTCGTCACCTGCTCTTGCTGGAGACTCGTGAACGGGGTGTCCCCGCGGACACCTGCTGACCCTGAGTCTGTATTCTCTTCCAGGCTGCCGATCGCACACCCGGGAGCAAGAGGTGAGAGGGGAGCTGCCCAGCGCGGCCAGCGCCATGGATCCCAAGGTCAGACTCGTAAGATTCTTGTACATGCTATGGAAAGAGGGCATGAAGGTAGCTGAGGGCCAGCCTGGTCCTTGTGTCTTATCTCCCTGGCCCCAGCCCAGGCCCTTGTTTGATAGCTTTGCAAAGAGGAGCTTCACATTCAACCACAAATTTATCATTCTGGACCCTGTGGGCCACACATGCGCACAGCAGAGGAGAACTTGGAAATGACCTCTTATCCAGGTCAAACCCATCAGCGGTCAGAACACGGTGCCCAGGGCTCCACCAGCCGCTCAAATGCCCCTGACCCATGTCGGAGGCCTGTGTGTGACTCCTGACTCCGGCTCCAGGTACACTCAGCCATGGGGCCTCGGGTGGTGGGCTTCCCGCCTCCCCATAGGAGGCACGTTAGGGGCCTGGCTCCCAGCTCCTGGCTTCAGTTCTCTGCCTGGGTCCATACAGGCAGCTGGGCGTTGAACCTGAGGGTTGGAGCTTTTTCTGCCACTTGCCTCTTTGTGTATATATATAAATATACACTGCAGAAAAAGAAAGGACGGTTTTGCTTGGTGCCATTTGAAAGCTGCCCAGCGGCCCTTGCCCTGCCACACGGCTCCCCCTTCCGTATTCCTGAACACCTGCAGGTTGAAGTCACCCCAATAACCTCTGCGGGTGCATTCTCCTAAACCATTCCCTTTGTAAGCAAACCCAGCCCTGGGAGTGGATTTTATCAGTTATGATGCCTCTTCTTCTTTTAAGATTTATTTATTTAGGGCCCGGCGCGGTGGCGCAAGTGGTTAAGGTCCTCACCTTGCACGCCCGGGATCCCATATGGGCGCCGGTTCTATCCCGGCAGCCCCGCTTCCCTTCCAGCTCCCTGCCTGTGGCCCGGGAAAGCAGTCGAGGATGGCCCAAGGCTTTGGGACCCTGCACCCGCGTGGGAGACCAGGAAGAGGTTCCTGGCTTCGGATCAGCATAACATCGGCCTTTGTGCTCACTTGGGGAGTGAATCATCGGATGGAAGATCTTCCTCTCTGTCTCTCCTCTCTGTATATTTGCCTTTCCAATTATAAAAAATAATAAAAATAAATCTTAAAAAGAAATTTTTAATAAAATTTTTAAAAATGTGTTTATAAGGTGCAGGGACAGAGAGAGAGAGGGGGCTTCATCTGATCTGTTACTCTCCAAATGACCACGATGGCCAGCACTGGCCTAGGCCAAAGCCAGGAGCCTGGAACTCTACGCTGATTTCCCTCATGGGTGGAAGGGGCCCAAACACTTGGACCATCTTCCTCTGCGAGGAGTTGGATGGGAAACAGAACAGCTGGGTCTGCAGCCAGTGCCCTGATGTGGGTAGCGTCACAAGTGGTGGCTTGAACCTGCTGAGCAGCGTCCCTTACTGTCCGTCTCCTAAGGGTGGTGGAGTGCTCGGTGCTGGCCTCTGCTGGGAGCTCCTGGGAGAAGCCACTGGCTGACGGCAAGGCTTGGAGCTCATTCGCCGGTGACTGACACCCTTCTTAGGCTTGAGTTGGGAGGTGTCTTCCGGAACTTCCACGTCCTCCCCAGTCCACACTTAGATGCAGCGGATCGGAGCCCACCTTTGCATTCCAGAGCGAACACACTGGCCCTGATCGCTGCCAGGCACGACTTGGACTGCTGATATACAACAGCCTCCACTCGCTCAGGCAGACTGGATAGGCAATACTGATTCCCATGCCTGCTTTTCCCACCAGCCCGGTCAGTGTTCGGCCAAAGCAACTCCTTCGTCTAGGCCCTGGCAACAGGAACGGTTGCCAGGATCCCCACTGGCTCAGATGGCTGCAACAGGCAAGAGACTGGTTGAAGCCAGGAGCTGAAACTCCACCTGGGTCTCAGTCCCTGTGGACTGTCTTGGGCTGCTCTCGTAAGCCGTTAGCAGGCAATGGATTGAAAGTAGTACAGCCTGGACCTGACCTGGCTTTCCTATGGGATGCTGGCATTGCAGGTGTGGCACAACACACTGCACCACGATGCCAGGCTGCGGAGTTCTCTTAACATTTGCACTGCAGCTTTCATTTCTATTTTTATGTATTGATTGATCATCGGAGTTTTCATCTTTGTGTATGTGTTGGTTTTTTTTTTTTTTTGCACCATTTTTAAACTCTAATCAAACTGTGGTAAAATCTACATCAGATAAAGTTCACCTTTTCTTAACATTTGAGAGGCTGAGAGCAGACAGACAGGAGAGACAGGCAGCATCCTCATTGGTCCACTTCCCAAGCACCTGCCACGGCCAGGGCAGTGGGCAGCAGCAGGAATGCGGCGGGGAGCCGGGAGCACGGTGGGTAGCAGGGACGCGGTCTTTTGACCTGTCGCCGCCCAGCGTGAGCATTTGCAGGGAGCTTGGGTCAGGAGCTGGAGTTTGCCGTCCAGCTGAGGTTCTGTGATTCGGGTCATGGCCATCCTATCCCCTAGGCCACATGCTGGCGGCACCGTGTCCCATTTTACCAATGTCTGAGCAAACAGATGGGTGGCATTCAGTGGCTCGTTGTTCTGTACCTGCCCTGGTTACCCCTCACCCCTCCGGAGAACAATACCTCTCCCCAAGACCCTACATCCTCCATGCCACTTCCACCCTCTGCACCCTGGACCCAGCAGCCCCCTTTCCGCTTCCTCACTCTGTGAACTTGGCCACTTTGGGTGCCTGAGGCTTATCCATTGGTGCCTGGCTCATCGCATTCCGCGCAACATCCCGGAGGTGCCTCCTTGTCTTTTTTTTTTTTTTTTTTTTTTTTTTGATATTTGGGAAGACCAAGGCAGTAAGTAAGGATCGGTTTATGTCTTGTTACTCGGTGCTTCTGACGGCCCACCTGTTGAGACACGGGACTTATTGTTAAACATGTCAGCTCTGTGACATGGCCACCGGGGTTTTTCCTGCCATCTCGATGCATTAACCGTGGAGTTGTCCTTCTCCTGCGATGCGACGCTCACATTGTTGACAGGTTGACAGAGGACAGCAGAGGCCTCACACATGGCATGTCCTACGTTCTGTTTGTGCGTAGAAGCCAAAACTTCCCACTCACTGCCCAAGCACACTGCCTGCTCTGCGGGCACTCCACACGTGCCTGTGCACACAGGTGGACACTGTTGGCAAGCACGTGACAGCTTGGGTGACCCTGGTCACCTTCTCTGCCCATGAAACACCTCCTTCCCCTCCCGGCTCCAAAGGGGGACCTTGGGCAAAAGTTGTTTGTACTGGTATCTGGGCCACGGATCAGCTTTTAATAGCAGAAGTTTCTTCCCCTGCGGTCTAGGGTGCAGGGTTCGCTGCATGGGGTTTCTGGGGGCTCCGAGGCAGCACCTGCACCCCACCTGGCCGCTCTCAGGAAGCAGTGGCAGAAGAGCCATGCGGCAGAACCGCAGGTCACCGTTTGGCATCTGCGGGTGGCATTGGCTAAAGCAGGCCCTCAGCTCTCTTGCGAAGCACTGGTGCCCCTGGGCTCCCCGTGGGCTTCTGCCAGCTCAGCTGTCGACGAGGCCTCCAGCTGCCCTGGCCCTATTTCCCACTCTCCTTGCCTCCCTCTTGTCTTAGGTTTGCAGTGGTCCAGGCCCCGGAGATGAACACATCACCAATTTGCTGCTGTTAGGCTTCCTGCAGAGCTGTGCCAGCCAGAGTTTGCATGATGAGCTGCAGGTGCTGAGCAGGGAGCTGCTTACGCCAGTCGCAATAGCCGCCGATGGCTACGATGATGAGCTGCAGACAGATGGCAACCGCGCCAGCCACTTCCACGGCGGGAGAGCAGGGGCAGGTAGGCACGCGGCTGAAGCTGGGCTCTGCCATCGTCGGTGGCATGTGGGCATCTGCGGGCTGGGAGGGACCTGAGGTGCCTATATCACACACGTTTGCTGTACGCACCATTGCGTCCAGCCGTGCTAGCCTCAGGACCTGCCTTTTAGGGTGAACTCATCAGAAAGGTCTCCCATTCTGAGAAGCCAAAACCCCTTTTAGGTGCCGGGGCCTGGTCCTTCTGTCTGAACTAACACGGAATAGTATGCATTATCAGCTCTCCCATGTAAATCAAAGTTTGGGAACCGTTTGGATTCTCTGACCTAAGGCGTTCTCAAACTTGGATTTGTGCAGTTCCCAGCGCTCAGGGAGGCAGGGAACAGGTGTTCAGCCCGATGGTCAGCACGCCGTGTTTCCCATCAGAGTCCCTGGTTTGGTTTTCCCAGCCTGGCTCCTGACTCCAGCTTCCTGCTGGTGCAGAGCCCGGGAGGCAGTAGTGATGGCTCAGGTAGCCGGCTGGCACCACCACGCGGGAGACCTGGATCCCAGCTCCTAGCCCATCCTCATGGCGAGCCAACTGACGGATGGCAGCTGCTTCTCTCTCAGTCTCACAAACACCAACCCGTGGGTCCTTCCTACACAGGTTCTGGTTTGGCTGCTGCCACAGGGGGTTCGCGAACACAGGCCTAAGCCTCAAGCCTGAGCCTTCCTCGCAGGTGACTCAGACACTGGTTAGAGTCCTTGCCAGGGGCCTAGCGCGGTAGCCTAACACCTAAAGTTCTCGCCTTGCATACTCCATATGGGCGCCAGTTCTAATCCCAGCAGCCCTGCTTCCCATCCAGCTCTCTGCTTATGGCCTGGGAAATCAGTCGAGGACAGTCCAAAGCCTTGGACCCTGCACCCACATGGGAGACCTGGAAGAGGCTGTGGGCTCCTGGCTTCAGAGCAGCTCAGCTCCGTCCATTACAGTCGCTTGGGGAGTGAATCAACAAACGGAAGAGCTTCCTTTCTGTCTCTTCTCCTCTCTGTATATCTGACTTTCCAATAATAATTTTTAAAAATCAGTCTTTCAAGATATAAAGTAAAATATAGAGTCCCTACCGGAGGATCCAGCTGTGCCATGTCCCTTTGTGTGGGAGGTTGCACTGCCCTCTAGTGGCCCTGGAGTGCACCAACAGCTCCCTAGCCAGCAGAACAGAGCGAAGCAAGGTCTAGGGGCAAGGTCTAGGCTCCAAGCTGCTGCAGACGCCAGCCAGTCTTGCGCTTCTCTGCATAGGCCCTTCCTTGCCTGTAGACCTGGCTTGGCTTCGGAGCAAGCTCAGTGCAGCCCTGGTAGAACACGAACCAGCCAAGCGCCTGACGGTCCACGGCGGGCGGCCAGCAGCGCAGGAGAGGCTGCAGCCGTCCTGAGTTCATTCACTTAGTCCTATGCAGATCCTGATGGCTGGGAGCTCAAGGATGGCCCTAGGGGAGGAACACAGGTGCACAGCAGGTGGAGAGGTTGCAGGAAGTAGTGAGGTGCAGACTCAGGCCTGCGATGCTGTGTCAGGGTGGCAGAGGCGAGCACCGGCAGAGCGGTTCTGCATTCTTAAGAAAATTCATTTCTGCACTTGAAGAGATAAGTGCACGGGAGACACAGAGAGAGCGAGACAGTGAGAACCTTCCATTCGCTGGCTCACTCTCCAAGGGGCTAGAGCAACAGCCAGGGCTGGACCAGGCAGAAGCCAGGATCCAGGAACTGCACGCGGTTCTCCTGTGTGTGTGCGGCACCCCGGGCACTTGGCCCATCCTCTCCCGCTTCCCCAGGTGCGTCAGCAGGGAGCTGGAGTCTTCAGCTGGGTTAGGAATGGGACCAGACACACACGTATGCTTGGCCACTAAACGACCCCGGGGTTTTGAGTAGAGAATTGATGCCGTGTCGGTACTTTGCATACCACGGTCAAGTCCACGGGGAGGCCAGGGAGCCACACGGAGCCTGGCGTTTCAGGAGGCACCCGTGCAGGCTCGACAGATGTCAATGCGAGTTCCCATGACCGAAGCTTAGGGTCGCATGGGGGTGGAGAAGGGGCTGGGGGAAGGTATGCATTCTTAGGGTGCCTGGTCCCGGGGCGGGACGGTTGGCACAGCCTCTGCCAGACACCTATTATATGCCGATGCCTGAAACTGGCAGCCACATTTAACCGTCAGGGGCCCACAGTTTTGAATGCCCAGCACTGCTGAGCCTGCCCGTGGGCAGGTGGCTGGAAAGAGGCCTGTACCTGCAGCCCATACCAAGGTCTTCCCAGTACACTGGCTGGGCTGGGAGAAGGTGGGCACTGGGGTCTATCTGAACCTTCTCTGTCTCTGACTCTCCCCGCCCTGCCACTCAGATTCTGAGAGCCAAGAAGAGATCATCAGGAATCTCGCCAGGCGGCTCGCCCAAATCGGAGACAGGATGGACCAGCACATCCAGCCAGGCCTTGTGAACAACCTGGTCGCCGAGTTCAGGAATGGGCGGTCGGAGGAGGTGAGCAAGGGAACAGGACCCACCCGTGCCTATGGGAAGTGGGAGGGCTTCTTGGAACATCAGTTGGACGGACGGTCTGTCCTGGGCACCGTGAGCGCCAGGTGGAGGGCTTTGGTGGAGGGAGTGGAGTTACAGCAGGACTCTGGGTCACAACTGCTGTGATGTAAACCAGAGGCCACATCAGCCAGAGTTAGGGACCAAAGCCTCCAAGAGGACGAATAGCCCACAGGTGACTGCCGGGAGTAAGTGACCCATCCTTCAGCTTTAGGGAGTGTAATGCAACCGCCAAGACAGAACTATGCGTTTTGAAGGTTGTTACTTATTTATTTGCAAGGGTGACAGAAGTCTTGCATCTGCTGGCTCTCTCCCCACATGGCTGCAACAGTTGGGGCTTGGGCCAGGCTGAAGCCAGGAACTCCGCTCTGATGGCCAGTGCCCAAGCACTTTGCGCCATCCTCTGTTGCTCTCCCAGGACATTAGCAGGGAGCTGGATAGGAAGTGGAGCCGCCAGCACTTGAACTGGTGCTCCAGCATGGGATGCCAGCTTAACACAACTGTGCCACAAGCTCGCCACGACCCAGAGAGAACTTCAGGTGGCTTATCCGGAGACATAACAGAGCAGCTACTGGAGAACAGCTACTGCTGTAGGGCTGGTGCTGTGGGGAGACAGGGATGGGTCTATGGCGGGGTGTACGCTTCCTGCAGCACCCTAGCAGGTGGGTAGAGCTCCAGAGCCCAGGACCACAGGTACATACCTGTAACTAGAAGTCAGGGAGGTTTCGTTCACCAGCTGAACATCCAGGCAGCACCCAGATATACAATCATGAAGTCGGGGTCGGCCACTGAGCCTCCTGGGGGTCCCCTACCCTCTCGGCCCTGGCTGCGGAAGTGCCTGGCGTTGCTCTGGCATTTCAGGAGGCACCCTTGCAAGCTCTGCGGATGTCAGTTCAAGTTCCCATATCAGAAGTTTCTCCCAGGGCTCGATTCCTTCTGAGTCCTTGAGCTGGAAGGGTCAAATCCACTGGTCTGTGGTCTGCTACGCGTCCCGTGGGCAGGAGTGGGACTAAGAGCTCCCAGGGGGTCAGGCCTGCGACCCCCTGAGAGAATTGCTTCACTCTTTTTTTTTTCTTTAGATTTATTTATTTGGATTAGAAAGGCAGATTTATAGAAAGGACAGAGAGAAAGATATTCTATTTATTGGTTTATGCCCCCCGCTCCCCAAGCAGCTGCAACAGCCAGAGCTGAGCCGATCCAAAGCCAGCCAGGAACCTCTTCCAGGGCTCCCACGTGGGTGCAGGGTTCCAAGGCTTTGGGCCGTCCTCGACTGCTTTCCCGGGCCACAGGCAGAGAGCTGGATGGGAACTGAAGCAGCCAGGACACGAACCAACGCCCATGTGGGATCCTAACACCTGCAAGGCGAGGACTTTAGCCACTAGGCTACTATCCCAGGCCCTCAACTTTTATTTGAATTTCTCAGGGACAGGAGTGATTTGTGCTGGGGTGGGAACCCTCTGACCCGAGGGTCCTATCAAAGCAGCCACAGGTGGAAAAGCAATGTCTCCAGCACAGTTAAGTGTTGCTAATTGCATTATTGTGGCTGGAATGATGTTATCAAATATCGCAATGGCCCTGAGCCAAGGAAAGCTCCCCCGCCACTGTGCAAGCAGGGAGCAGACCGAGTCTTCCCTTTGCGTCGCCCTCTGGTGCCAAACCTCGGCGTTGATGCTTCATGCCGGGCGCTGGGAGCTGTTCCCGGAGGAAACGGCGTGGTAAGCCCCGTGCTGTGTGACCCTTCACAGGACAGAAGGAAGCAGCTGGCCTCGGCGGTGGGGCAGGCGATGAAGTCGTGGCCAGCAGACATGGAAAAAGAGAAGGCCATGCTGATGCTGACCATGCTGCTGGCTAAGAAGGTGGCCGAGCACGCACCGTCTTTGCTGCGTACCATCTTTCATACGGCGGTGACCTTGATTAACCAAGACCTGCTCGCCTACGTGAGGAACCTAGCTGGCAATGTAAGAACTGGCTGATGTGCCCCAACCACTTCCTGCTGGGCGGGAGGGCTCTGCGGTGGAGGTGTTCGTGGGCAGCTCTTTTCTCAGGTCCCGGGGTTTGTTTGTGGTGGGATAACGGAGTAGCAGAGCTGAGGGAACAACGGGTGCCTTCATTTCACCTGCCACAAGACTAAGTGTGATTCCAGTGTTTAAGTCACTTGTGTTGATTTGTTTGAAAGGCCGATAGACAACAGAGAAGTCTCCATCTGCTGGTTCCCCTAATGTCAGGGGATGGGGCTGGGCAAAGCTGAAGCCTGGAACTTCCTCTGGGTCTCCCCCATGGGGAACAAGGACCCAAATACTGCAGCCATTGCCTGTGACCTCCCAGCTGTACATGGGCAAGTGTCAGAATTGAACATGGAACCGAGGCTCGGAGTCCACGTTCCCAGATACGAGCTGCAGGCCCGCAAGCTGCACATTCACCACTGTGCACGGTTCTTAAACGGGCTTAACAGGGGATGGGGATACGGGGCGTGGTCTGACATCTCCAAGGTGGACACGTGACCTGGTCATCAGTGTGCCGCTTGGCCATCCGCATCCCGTAACAAGGTGCCTGGGGTCCAGAGCCACCTCCCTCCCAGGGTCTTACTGACATACACCCTGCAAGGAGCAGTAACAGTTTGTCAGGCCCTGCCACTCAACTGAGAGACACAGATGAAGGTTCCTGTTTTGAGCCAGTGGCCCAAAACTCCATCTCTACCTTTGAAAGAAAGTCGGTGAACAGGTAGCATCTGGCTCTGTTAGTGTTTGCTGATTAGCTTCGAGAGCCTTCGCTGTGTGTCATGGTCATCAGTCAGAGGAGGGTGAGTGGGGCAGCATGCAGAAGGGCAGTCTGCAAACGTCCCGGACAGTTGTCAGGGAGGGAGGTGTGGCCATTGCCCCCGAAAGTGACCAGATACTGAGGGCCGAGACGCGTGTGCCTCCTCTGACCCACAAGGTTGCCTTGGTGCCTGGATGACATGAGCGGCTCCCTTGTTCACAAACTGGAGGTGCGGGGATGGGCGGGGTTGGGTTTCGGGGGAACCTTCGGGCACGGAACCCTGGTGTGTAAGACGGGCTCTTCCTCTCCTTCTCCAGGGCTTGGAGTGAACGGATGACCACAGCAGCGAGGCTGTTGACGGCCTCAATTCGGACAGCAGGATGGCTTCCCCTGGGCAGGAGCACGGTCCTGCCACCAGCCAGTTACCTCCAGAACCCTGCACCTGGGTTGTAGCTATTTATTTCATAGTATTTTCAAGATGGTGATTTAAGCTGGTGCCCTGTTGGAGACAATTTCTACATGAATATACTTGAATGAGAATGTCAACTTTCACATACTGGAGTGGATTTTGTACCATCCCCCTACATTTACACACTGGGTCTTCTTTCAGTCATAAGCCACATCACCACTGGGAGGTTAGCTGTCCACGCGTGAGGACCCCTCCCCGGACTCCTCCTTGCCTGCCCCCTACCATGTTCCCAGGCTGCCGGGCCCCTGGGTTCCACAGTGGGGGGTGGCCACAGGAGCGGGGCAGCAGCTGGTGCTAGAGGGAGGGTATTGGAGAGCTGCCAGCAGTGCTAGCCACAAACCCCCATGGGGAGAGCCTGGCACGGGCCTTTGGGGCAGTGTAATGTCCCAAGTCCCTGCTTGGCTCCATTTTTCAACTCCTTTGCTAATGCTACCCTGCCCCCACCCCGCCCCGCCCACCGGGAGACCCACCCAGGAATACCAAGACAAACTCTCCACTCTTGCATTTGGCTGTCTAGCCATGATGGGCTGTTGGCTTGAACCAGGAGATGGGAGGAGTCTCATTTGAAAACATTTGAAATCGTTTGAAAGCCAAAAGAATAATAGTAATAATCAAGAACATTAGATGTAAAACTCAGATGTGAAAGCAGATTATATATTGGGTGACCATCCCATCTCCCTGGCTACTAAGGCAGTTACGCTGCTGGGAGCAGCCCGCCCCCCTTCTCTTTCCCCGTTCCTCCAGATACTGAAGAAAAAAAAAAAAAATTTAGAAGCAGTTGTCTCATTCACTTTCCCCCTTCCCACCTTGACCCTTCCCACCCTAATCGGTGGTCCACATGGGCATCTGTCCTTCTCAATTATATAAACACCATCAAAAATAATTTTTTAAAAAAGTAAGTTGGGCCCAGCACGGCAGCTTGGTGGTCAAAGTTCTCGTCTTGCCTGCACCAGGATCCCATATGTCCCCCAGTTTGTATCCCAATAGCCCCAGTTCCCATCCTGCTCCCTGCTTGTGGCCTGGGAAAGCAGTCGAGGACGCCCCAAAGCCTTGGGACCCTGCACCCGCGTGGGAGACCCGGAGAAAAGGCTCTGGACTCCTGGCTTCATCAGCTCAGCTCCAGCCATCGCGGCCACTCGGGAAGTGAATCATCAGATGGAAGATCTTCCTCTCTGTCTCTCCTCCTCTGTATATTTGACTTTTCAATAAAAATAAATAATTCTTCAAAGAAAAAAAAAAGTCATAGAGCAGGGGAAAAAAGGACAAATAAAAAAGCAGGACTACTGTTTATTCAAAGTACAAGCCTTGGGACGCAAGCCTCACAGCAGGGTCTATTTCACAGAACTGCCAAATGTATTTCAGATGGAGACGTTCCATCAGGATGGGGGCATCGTAGTTCCAAGGAGGCAGTGTTCCTCTCACGCCTGGCAGGCACAGTGGGGAGCTGCAACCCCCTTATGGAGGGGTCTGGCTTTTTTTTTTTTTTTTTTTTAGTGGGATTCTCCAGTCACGAAGACAAAGCTGGGGGAGTTAGAAAGATGTGAAAGTCAGCTGACAGCCCGCACCAACCACCATTTCCAAAACCAAGACTTTTCCTTTTCCTGGGGAAGTCAAAACTGCACTTGGAGCTGATGGTGTGCCAGAGGTGGGCGTGCCCCTGCAGTCATCCACCTGCAGATTCCAGTTGCCTGCCTTGATTCGTTTGTGCAACTGCGAGCATCAGGTTCTAGCAGTAAAAGATGGAGGAGCATTACAAGTCCTAAACCTTGACCCCCGAAGTGGCCCCCTCTCCCAGAAGCAACAGGGAGATGCTTCGGGTTAGAAACAGCACACGTGGGCAAGTGTCCCACGCTATGAGTCATCTCTGGGACGCAGCGCTGTGACGGCCGGGGCTGGCTCTGCATCACATCCCTCCCCCTCGGCAGCAAAGCCAGCCAGAGTGACGCAGCACTAAGCCAAATCGTGTTACTCCAACACGGTTCTGTTCACTGAGAGTTTAAGTTCATCCAAAGAGAAAGATCTGCTGGGTCCCGGCTGCTCCACTCCTGATGCAGCTCCCTGCTTGTGGCCTGGGAAAGCAGCAGAGGACGGCCCAAAGCCTTGGGCCCCTGCACCCATGTGGGAGACCCAGAAGAGGCTCCTGGTTCCTGGCTTCAGCACGTCTTAGCCCTGACTGTTGTGGCCACATGGAGAGTAATTCAGCAGAAGATCTCTCTCTCCTCTCTGCAACAATGCCTTTCAAATCTTTAAAACAAAAACACAGTAGCTAAGTCAAAATACAGATGTCAAACAGCAAATAATCCGATGCCTTAGCAGGGCCAGCATCACGGCGCTGACAAAGTTGCAACCCGGCCCGGCAGCATCCTACATAAGGCTAGTTTGAGCTCCAGCTGCTCCACTTCTGATCCGTTTCCCATAATGCACCTGAAAAAGTGTGGAAGAGGGAGGTAAGTCTGAGCAGCAGTGCGGGTGCCTGGATCACCCAGCCACGTGGCTGTAGCTGAGGGTACCCATGCCAGCCCAGGCTTCTGGGTGAGCATCCTAGCTCCCTTCCAGCACTGCTAGGCAACGGGAGGGTCCTGGGCTTGTGGGTCAGAGCACCAACTGGCACCGGGCTCTGCCTGCAGGCCGCCCAGCAGTGAGCCCTGGGGTCTTGGTGTGAAATCACTGACTACGCTCTCCATGGGTAATGCCACTGTACACGCAGGCAAGGAATCAATTGTGAGGAACACCCAGTGACAGGGCTTCTGTACTTACAAGTTAGCAGGGGGACTGAGACCTGGTGATTTGGAGGGGAGAGACCTAAAGATCTTTATGGGTCAGACTGATCCACCAGCCCACGGGGAAGTCCTGGATTGGGCTCGTTAGCATGGAACATGGCTGACTACTGCACGCCAATGCACATACAAGCTATGGCTGGGAACCTGCCTGGCAGGGCTGGATCCCATCACCTGACAGTGAGTGTCAGATCAGGGGATGAGTCACATCAGACAGCCATGACACAAACCAGCATGCAAGAGAACCAGGTCCAGGGTGGATTCTGTGGGGGATATGTGGACCCAACCCTATGAAACTGCACGTTCCACTGGTTAGCTTGAGATTGGAATGGTGATGGGCTGAGCTAGGTGATCATGGAACTCATGGATGCTCATCGGTATTGGGGCTGGGAACAAGCAGGCCAGGTCCAGGCTGCAGCACCTGCATGAACACTGTAAAACAGGATATGGGGCAGGCCAAAACGCACTAGCTCACACAAACGCATTGATGAATGGGGCAGGCCATGCCAGGTAAGGGCCTAGCACCCACTTGGAAGTGTGAGATCTGGGAGTGGCCCGATCAGGGAATCTAAGAAACTTCCCTAGTGGATCAAAGCTCCTGCTGGTGAGCACATGGTCCAGGCCTGGGTATTGAGCTGGCCGGGCAGGGCAGCTCCATCTGTCAGCAAGTGTGTGAGTTGGTTTTGGAAGGGGACAGACTTGGTGTGGCAGAGCAATCCATAGTTCACTGGCAAGTGCAGAAATCAGGATGCAATGCAGGTCATGCCGGGCTAGGCTGCCATACCTCCTGGTTTACATGAGCCAGGGATGAGGGCAGGCCGAGCAGGGCAAGATTGCAGCACCCACCAGTGAGAGTTGGGACCAGGGGCTGGCTAGGCCAGACCAGGCTGCATCCAAAGGCAAAGGTCAAGACAGAGGAGGGGCTGTGCCAAGTTGGGTCAGAGCAACCACCAGCACGCATGAGATCTGTGGCTGCAATCAGGCCTGGTTGGGGAGCTAAAGGAACACCCAGGCTGGGTTGTGGGTCCCACTAGTGAGCGTGGGGCCAGAGTAAGCACTGTGGTCTGGTCTGGACATGGATGCAGTGTCCCTTAGCATGATGTGAGCTGGGTCTGGGGCATGCAAGGCTGGGCAAAACTCCAGCACCCATTGGAGTTCCTGAGAACCAAGATGGACTGGACTAGATCTCTGCCCCTGCTGAGCCATGCATGAGCTGTGTCTGAGTATGGAGCAGGCTTGGCTGGGCTGTAGCACCCAACAATAAGAACCAGAATGGGTGAGGGCCAGTCAGGAAAGGCCATTGTTCCTACCAGGACAGGAGGTAGACTAAGCAGGGTTGGCCCATGGACCCACTGGCGTGTGCAAGATCTAACATTGGGAGAAGTTCTGATGGAGGAGCTTGGAACTCCTCTGTTGGGACATAGTCCCTGCAGGTGAGGGCAGGGAGCAGCTCAGACCAGGCCAGGATACAGTACCCACAGGCTTACCTTTGGCTTAGGTCTGGGGCAAACCAAGCTGAGCCAGTTCATATCACCCACTGGGCAAATCCGAGAACCACAATGGTGAAGTCATGCCAGTCCGGGCTGCAATACCAGCCAGTCCACATTAGGGCCAGGACTGGACGCTGGCTGAGCTGGTTAGGCTGTAGCCCCCACCAACATGAGCTGGAAGTGGGGGTAGGCTGGGCCAGGTCAGGCTACAGCACCCACTGGGAAATGCCAAAGTGAGGGCGGGCCATGCCAGACTGGGCCATAGCGTCTAACCAGCACAAATCAGACCAGGGGAAGAATGGGTGAACCCAGTAAGGGGGCTGCAAGGAGCTCCCCTGCTAGGTCACTATTCCTACTAATGAGTGTGAGAGCGGGGATTGGGGGCAGACCAGGCTGGGAAGGGCTATAACACCTGTCGGCCTGATGTGAGCTGGATCGGGGACAAGCCAGGCTGGGCAGACTGTACCTACTGGTGCATAAGCCAGAGGGGGTGAAGGTTGGTGGGCCTTTGCTGCAGCATCACCTAGCAGATGGTGGCCTGGGGGACAAACTCAAGCTATACTGCAAAACCACCTGTAGAATACAAGATCCTGGACAATCAGTGGGCCCAGTAGGGAGACAGGGCACCTCCCTCTTGGGCTGCCACTCCAACTGGTAAGAATGAGAACCAGGACTGGGACAGGCATGGCTAGACAAAGAGTGGCACCCACCAGTACATGTGTGTGGACTGGATAGTGGGGCTGGTTGGGTTGAACTAGGCTTCAGTGCCCATTGATATGTATGAGAGCTGAATGGGATGTGGGATAAACA